TAAATATATATATATATGTGTAATAAAAGTGTATATAACCGTTTAAAATTTCTATCTAACTTGAACATTATAAAACTGTTTTTTATATTATATATTTAGATGAAATATATTTATACTTATCAGAACATATAATATCTTACACTTTTAAATTATATATGTAGTTAATTAAAAATATATAATTTTATATTATTTATAATATCATATAAATTATAACATTTAATATATATTGTTACTATTTTATTTATTATTATATTTTTAACACGTATAAAATAAATATAAAAAAAAAAAATAGTTATTTTACTTTTATTTACGTATATCAATCAATATGATTCAGGAGGAAACTGAGAAAAAAGATGTATGTTTAATACTAATATAATAATATTTTATTTTATAGAATTTAAAAAATATATATATATTATTAATAACAAATCAAGAAATATATTTTAAAAAATTAATTTATATATTTCAATTTCATTAATAGTTCTATTTTACTAGTATATTTCCTAATTGTAGAAATAATTTTAATTATTGTTCGAGCATACGGTTCAAAAGAAAAGATATTTATAATGATTATTCGAAGGTTAGTGTTCATTATAAAAATAATATAGGGGCTCATATTCTTGGTGGCTTTGATTTTCAAAATGATTGTATAGTACTAGGTTTATATTTAAATTATACAAAAGAAAATAATATATTAGAGGAAGGCTTCTAATCAGAAGGATATTGTAAATATTTCTTTTACAAGTTAAAAGATCTAGTGGACATACATAAGGGTAACTCTAATACAACAGAAAATGCTACGAGGAATTTATTAAAAATAATTAAACTACACGTGTGTGGAGAATACCAGTGCCTTATATTTGTCTAGAATATGTAAATAATAATGATATAGATGATGATATATTTACGATGTTTAAAGAGCTTGATATACTATATGATAGATAAAATACATTTGTTAACACTAAAGCACCAAACTGTTCGAAGTTTGATTCATTTAGACAACATATTCAATACATAGACAAACCTGAAAGATATAATAACTCGACTTTTAAATCATTACTTGAATATATTAATAATTTTTTTAAAAAACATATGGGCAAATTATAAAGTTCTAGTCATTGGAAAGATACGACATTCTTAAAATATCTCATTCAAAAAGAAATAAATAAAGGTCTATTGACAGTAGTATAGGAAACTACAGATAAAAATAGTAGTAATTTAATTGAAACTACAACAGGTACAGGTACTAATGTAAAAATGTACTATAGCATATCTGCAGATAGTGATACACAAATAAGCACAGGTGTGACCTTTTGATTTCTTGCAATATTGATGAATATGTTCATCTTGTATAAGGTTCAAAATAAAAAAGATTTTTTTAATATATATTGTTTTACAATTTATATTACGTATAATGATGTAACATTTATGTCAAATATATGATTATTTAATAAAAATATTATAATGGTACTTTATTTTCAGTAAACACCTTTTGGGTCATATTTGCATCCCAAAGCAAAGTGTTTAAAGAAGCTAATAAAAATAAAAAATAAAAAAAATATGATCTTAATTGGTTCACATGAAAATATGTACAAAGAATTAAATGACAAGAAATATGAAATTGCATATAGATCAATATGAAACATGAAAAAATTTATTAAGAAGAAAAATAGTATAAATTCTACATAATTCTTTTCAAATAATGTAATATGATTAAATTAAATTTATATATAGATAATAACAAATAAATATAGGAAAAAATATATGTTAAGGACGTTATAAAAAAGGGAAAAAATGTATTAATTTTTTTGGCTTAAAGGAAAATGAAATATAAATTTTGGTACATTGCAATTTAATATATATAATTATTATGAAAATGTACAAGAAATATGTAATCTATAAATATTTTCTAAAAACTTATATATTTTATAAATACATATTTAAAAATATTGATGATTAAATTTAATACATTAATATTTTACGTAAGTTATCGTTTTGACACTCAATATATATTTATTATATCTGATGAAAGCAATAATCTGAAATATTTATTCTACAAATAACTCATTTTATTAGCTTACAGTATTATGTATAATATAATCTACAATCTAATACTAAAAAGATAAAGAGAAATAAAAGATTAAATTGAATGATGAAATACTAAGAATATTCTCTTACATATACGTACCCGTAAAATATCGTGGATTATATATCTTCATAATTAAGCTGAAATGCTATATAGATCAATTTATTTGAGTAACATATATGCCTATAAATACAAAACGTTTCTCTATAAGTTTAAATATTTTTGAACATAATAAAACTAAAATTTTAATTCTATTCAATATAAATCTTAATAAAATGCCATAAAGAAGACACTATAATACCAATATATTTTTAGAATTATAATTATAATCTCAATAATGTGTTATAATTATATTATTATATTACATTATATAAAATACATAATATATATACATCATAAATTTCAGTTGAACATATTCAATATGATTAATTTAGTACTTTTTAAACACTTATAATTTTCTAATCCTCTAATAAATATTCAAAATTATATAATAATTAATGTTTTCCTATTGTCAAATTTATGAGAATACTGAAATATTATAAAATTATGTCAGCTATTTAACTTAATTACATTTGTATATACCTATAATTCCATATTTTACTCACACTTAACGTCTATAAAAGGACATATTGATGGTTTTTTCATAATTTTTTTTTTAGTTATATAATTTACCCTACTGAAAACATTTGCAATACACAGAACTACAGAGTATATATATTTTATACAAGGATTTTGATATGCATATATTATTTATTGTATTCTGAGTTTTCTAATTTAAAATTAATTGAGCTCTTATAAAGTGAAGAAATTTTAAAATAAATCTATAAATGTTCCTCTTACATAAGCATTTAAAATAGATATAAATATGAAACGTTGGAATTATATTATGATTTGTAGTGTTTTAATATTACATAATTATTAACAATGTAAAATAATATAAAATTATTATAACTAAGTATAGCAAAAAAATAATAGACATATGAAAACAATATTATATTATTATTATACATGCCATAATGCGACAGATAATACAAGAAATCAATTATTTCCTTTGATTTAAAATTAATAAATTAGATGTATATTATTAAATATATAACACCAATTAATATTCGGATATTTATATAAAATATATTAAAATAATATTTATCAACCATGTATTTCATATATATATGCACATATATATATAATGTATACACTAAAATTAATGCTTCAAAAAAAAAATCTCATGGAAATTATATGGCATGAGCAATGCTAAATTAGACAATATGGTATATTTCAATACACAAATCATATATAGAAAATTGTATTGGTACAGTTAAATTATTTATTTATTAATATGCAATTTATAATAAATATATATTATTATTTAAATTAATTTAATGAAATTCAAAAAATTTAATGATTCACATTATGTATAAAATAAATAACTGTTATAATAATAGTTATTTTAATTAAATATAGCATTACAAATAAGTAGACATACCTTTATAATAATTCTTTATTTTCTTTCTCATAATAAATGTGCATTATAATTTTTGAAAATAAAAAAAAATAGCAATGATAAATATATAAATATTGAAAATAAATTCTTATATTATTGATGATAATTTTGTGATATTTTATAATCAGTTTAAATAACGAAATATTTATCATCAAATGAGTCAAAATTTATAACAGAAACTTGAACTTATATTTTTACGATATTATTCTAGTAACACCACAATATAAAGTAAATATTAATAAAAAATTTTAGCTAATATAATATATATTCGTAAATTATTATCATATAATTTATTTTGCTAATGTTTATCGTTACAACAAAATAAAATATGTAACAAAAAATTAAAAAAAATATGTTACTTATGTACCATAAAAATAATATACTAAAAAGTTAACAATAAGTAGAAGGATATAATAATAAAACTATGAATTGAAGCATAAATCTTATTCTGAACCATTATATATTTTGGAATTCGCATATATATGTTTTTTAGAATATGTTTACGCGTATGATAAAGTATGATATATTGTAATTTTAAAAAGAATACTTATTTATATAATAAATATATTCATTTCAAATTATTATTGTATTATTTGGAAAATAATAATTCTTTGCCATTTCTTAGATGAGTAATTTTGCACAGTAATACTTATAATGCATATATATATAACAAAAATATTCTTTTGGGTGCCCTAATCAGAACAATTATATATTATTGTATGTTAAATTAATTCTTCTTGGTGAATCTATAACTTTATGAATACAATAATCCTCTATTATATTCCTATCTGTTATAATATTACGTTTTCTTTTAGATTTTCCTAGTAATACT